GAAATAAAGAAATGATATTAAGAAAAAAAGCTGGCATTAATTGAGCAATGTACATTTCTATTTATTGCCACATTTTTTAGCAAAGACAATATTCATTTCTCCAGATATAAATATACAATTGCAGCAACAGACTGACTGATGCAACCATTTCATTTTATCAGAAAACTCAAGGTGGTTTCAACTTAGTGATGGTGGTGTTGGTAGTTTTCACTCCTGATCACGGCAGTGAGCCACATTGAATTTACCAAAGCAAAGTTCAGCCACTGCATCGTTCCTGGGCAGACTGTCAAGCAGTTTACCAGTACTAGTTGCCTTCACTTTCGCAAGGAACTGCTCACTGCTGTACATGTAAGAGCAGAGGTTCAGTGAGAATTACCATAGAAAGTATTTCACGATCAATCACAACGAAAGTGACTTGTTTGTACGGGAATTGAACAGGGTCTCCCAAGCTTTTACCTATTTAGCTAACCGGGCAACCTTTGGTTTTGACTTTTTGATCATTTTCTTACTTAACCTTAATAACAGGTATGTCTCATAAACAGACAAGTAAGACCAATCCATGATTTGTCTAACTCTTATTTGATGATTTGTATCATAACATAATTTTTAACCAAAGAATAAAGGTAAAGAATAAGACACAATACATTCTGATTTCATTGGGCATAGTTTTATTATCTAAAGTAGTTTGAAGCTTCATATAATAAGCAATATTACAAGTTTTCTTATAAATTTTGCGCAGAAAGCAAGAAAATAAGAAAAAAAGAATATTTCAGTAAACAAAAGTAACAACCTGTATAAAAATAATTTTACAAAATAAAAAGTAAGAAATTAGGACAATGACTGCAGTACAGTAAACTCATTAATATTTTAATTCAAAGACATGTATGTAATAATATATAATATACATGTAAAAAATGTATAATGTATATATAAAAAAGTTAGCTGAAGGGTAGAAATAAGTTGCTTAACAACTACAGTCATGTACATGAACTTGACTGTGACATTATGCCCTGACAGTGACATTATGCCCTGACATTATGCCCTGACAGTGACATTATGACCATCCAAGTGTAAATGGTCAGACAACTGGTAAAAAATCGAAATAACATGAAAGTTTGCCATAATTGTGTTTAATTTTATATTTTAATTTGCATAAAATATCCAGTTAACCAATATTGTATCATAACCATTTTTCATTATCAAATACTGGTCAATCACAATAATAAAAATAGTCAACCTTTTGAAAAATATTACAAATTTATCTCAACATGACAGCAAAAAAAAAAGAGAGTACTGTTATGTAGCTTTAAGTTTGATGTTGCATTTTTATCTCTATTATAATGATAGAGATAGTAATGGACACACTGAACATAAAATAAAAGTTTCTATCAATAGAATATAATAATTATATAGTTTTGGTCATTAAAAGCACATTATACCAGAAATGAATAAATATTTACTCCTTTTGAAAGGTCAAACATTTGTTTTATAACAGTTAAATAATGGTTTTAGAGCATGTTAGATGCTTGTTACCTGAATAAAATAGCACTAAATGTAAAATAATATGTCATAAAAGGAGCAAAATGTAAACAAAATAAACAAAGTATTATTTTGACTTCCATATAAAATACTTAATTACTATAGCTGTTGTACTAATTGCCAAAAAGAACAGTTCAGGTAATTGGCCAATGAGTAACTTGTTTGATACTATAAAAGAACACGAAAAATAAAAAGAATTTGAGGAATAAAAATGAAAGATGATTTCTTGGGCATAATGGGATTTAACTTATTTTAAGTACCTTACAACATTATGTTTCCTTCAAAAAAAACACAAAAGTAACAATAAAATACATACAAATAAAATAAAACAAATCATATCAAAAATATCAAAGGATAACAATCTTGACAAGATATCACAGAAAAATTGAGGAATGTAAGAAGCAAAGTGGCTCATGATAAATTATCGAACAACACAAATTCCTGTTTATTGACTATTATTCATTTTTATACCCTGAAGAAGGTTGTTCCGCTGAAATGTTGTTATAAAAGGAAACTTAAAGAATTTGTAGTTGACTATTGTTCGCTATCAGTTTCTATACTTGTTATGGGGTTTGTAAGCGAACAGCATGGATCCTGATTAGACCGCGCAGATGGGCAGGCTGGTCTGGATCCATGCTGGTCGCAAATGCATTACGTTGGTTTTGTCGTGACACAGCTCATTTATTTTTAGCTCGACTATTCGAAGAATATGAGAGCTATTGTAGTCGCCCCGGCGTCGGCGTCCGCGTTGGTTAAAGTTTTTTGTAAAGTCAAATATCTCAATTATTACTTGAGATATTCAATTGAAACTTACAATACTTATTTATAGTAACAAGGTACATCAGATTGACAAGTTTGATAACTCTGCCTACAATATTGACAGAATTATGCCCCTTTTTAACTTAGAAATTTTGGTTAAAGTTTTTTTGTAAAGTCAAATATCTCAATTATTGCTTGAGATATTCAATTGAAACTTACAATACTTATTTATAGTAACAAGGTACATCAGATTGACAAGTTGGATAACTCTGCCTACAATATTGACAGAATAATGCCCCTTTTTAACTTAGAAATTTTGGTTAAAGTTTTTTGTAAAGTCAAATATCTCAATTATTGCTTGAGATATTAAATTGAAACTTACAATACTTATTTATAGTAACAAGGTACATCAGATTGACAAGTTGGATAACTCTGCCTACAATATTGACAGAATTATGCCCCTTTGGAACTTAGAAATTTTGGCTAAAGTTTTTTTGTAAAGTCAAATATCTCAATTATTGCTTGAGATATTCAATTGAAATTTAAAATACTTTTTTATAGTAACAATGTACATCAGTTTGCAAAATTACATAACTCTGCCTGCAATATTTGCAGAATTATTTGCCCCTTTGAAACTTCGAAATTTTGGTTAAAGGTTAAAGGTCTTCAAAGATATTTACTTGAAACTTTACACATGCACTTAGGGTCATAATTGGAGGGTCATAATTGTATGTCACTGACCAAGTTCCATAACTTTATCTTGCATTAAGGCTGATTCATATCCCCTTTTCTACTTAGTCTCTTGGTTAATGTTGACATGCAAGTTTACATATCTCAATAACTATTAAAGATATTTATTTAAAACTTCACATATGCATTTAGGGTCATAATTGTAGGTCACTGACAAAGATCCATAATTCTATCTTGCATTTAGGCTGATTTTTCTCCCCTTTTTCAACTTAGAAATTCATGGTAAAGTTTTGCTTGTAAGCTGTTATCTCAATAAGTACTAAAGGGTTTGTGCCTTTTTTGGGACAATTTTATGCATTAATAATAATAAAGCAGTGATTTACTTGCTAAAACATCTTAATAACAAGCCTTTGTACCTTTTCTGTCAAATTTATGTATTCATAGGTAATTAGTATTATTATACTCAATAAAACACCCTTGTGACATTACCTTCCGAATTATAAGTCAAGCCAATACTGTATAATTAGACTGTCTCTAAGGCCTATAACATGAACTTATAAAAAGAAATTAGCCCTTTTGTGAACTTAAAAAATTTAACATTATCAAGGCTCTTTTACTATCAAGCACTTAGAATAGTCGAGCGTATTTATGGTTATACTTTGAAATCCATGACATCTCAGTTTGTCATATCCCATTGTTAACTATTTCTCTGAAATCTTCAGGATACAAACATTTCATTGTAAACTAATTCTTTAACATCTAACAGCAAACATTCTCTGATGTTTTAAAGTAAACTTAATCTTACATAAACATACTGTGTAAAAGGATATTTATGTGTCACAAAAATTTTGCAAAGGTCAAAAAGTGGACTTTTTGCGTGCAGAAATATTTGCAAAAATATGATTTTTTTGAATTTAATACTGTTAATTTTGACATTATCAAAAGAAAACAATGCATTGTAAAACAAAAATTTAAAGAGATTAGCTGAATCAATGCCCATTGATATAAAATTGTATTACAAAATAAACTAACACTGTTCAAAAAATCTGTAAAATTATTTAATATTAATATTTCCAATTAATAAAAAGATTCAAAATCTTGACCATCATGAGATTTAAACTTTTATATCAACTTGCAGTGGGACCTGTACAAAGAACAATCTTGTTGATTTGATTACTGGATATGGTGTCTTGGGAACTGCATAATGTGGTCTTGTGAATTGGACACTGTGGTCATGTGGTGATTGGATAATGTGGTCATGTGATGATTGGATAATGTGGTCATGTGATGATTGGATAATGTGGTCATGTGATGATTGGATAATGTGGTTATGAGGATTGGATGATGTGGTTTTATTATATTTCGGATCTGGAATAAATAGCATGGTCTTGGGATTTGAGATTGGATACTGTGATCTTTATTGACATAATGGTCTTACAATACAGGTTTTTTTGCATAGGATCTTTGTTCAATGGAGTCATTTACACACATTTGAATCTACTGACATAACAGATTAAACCCTGATGAAAAGCAATACTAATAAATAATATAATCATGTTTGAAACAAACATGACAGACTAGAACATTTTAACTTTCTGAATGTACATAGCTAACAAATAACTTTGTCTATACCACTAGTATATAGAAATACGTTACAACCAGGACATCCATTTAATCTTACTGTTCAGCTGCTCAAAACTGACATTTCAATCACTAATTTATAAGCGACAGGTTCAATTACAAGCAAGATAAGACTGTTATAGTTTTCAGTAGAGTATGTTTACCATACTATAAGGTTATTATTTGGAAATGAATATGTCCTGCTTTGAAACTAATATTGTTCTTAATATTTTGTTTAATGGATTTCATTATCATCATCAATATTTAACTGAACATCTAAAGTCTAGTAACACTACAAAGACTACGCTGCTACAGGCTCGGATATGGGAAATTTTTCCAGAAGGGATTGCAAAATTTTGACGAGGAGTAATACATGTTCATAAGAGTATGGATATTTTTATTATTTTACTAGTTTTTCCACAGGGAAATACAAGTCAATATTTTGCTCATTTAAATAGTTTTCAAGTGATTTTTACTAAAGAAATTGTAAGCTGATATCCAAATCTATGTGCGCTTATATATTCATGCGAAACTTCAAGGGGGAGGCTATGACCCCCTAACCCCCTCACTGGGCCAGCCCATTTGCTAGTGTGTCACAATTGCAGCTTTTTAAAGTTAAAAAATGGGATACATAGAGGATTTCCTATTTACGTATACAAATGTAATTAAAATATGTTCTACACTACATGTAAAGCTACTGTTCATCAATATTGAATGGTTTGAAATACAATGTGTCTTCATCATTATGTTTGTTAGAAGTTTCTAAATATTCAATTTCTTTCACATTATATTGAATGTTTTTAACATCAATAATTTCCTGATTTGTTGCTTCATTTGCTTGTATATTGAACTGTTCTGTATCTGACAAAACAGTTCTGAGACCGTCGGAGCTATCCATGATTTTCAGATTGTCAAAGTCGGCCAAGCCGTAGGAAGCTGTGCCAAGTCCAACAAATCCATTTTGAGGGGCTGGACTGCCAGGAGCAGAAATGTTGAATACTTGTTGACCATTCAGAGTACCAACTGCAAATCCATCCTAGTGAAAATAGAAATAATGGACAATGTAGTAAAAACCGTCCTTGAGAAAATGAAAATATTGAACAATAAAGTAGAATTTAATATTGATTGTAAATAAAAACCAACATAGTCTTTGTAAATAAATGTAAAACATATAGCAGCAGTAAAACTGAAATTTATATATGATATCAAATAGATTCTTCTAAGCATATTTCTTCAATTAAGATGATTTATAAATGTTGATTTACCTTAATAAGAAGGCCTTGTTTATACCATGGGTCAACTGACAAACTGTGTGCCCCTTGATATAACGTCTTTGTCCTTGCTGAAATGTATATTATAAGAACATGTATACAATAATTTGTAATCAACACAAGTCCAATATGGGTAGCTACCTGTATATATTTCCTTGCTTTATGCATCAGAAACATTTTTTTTCCTCTTTAGAAAGAGAAAAAAATTTCTAAAGAGAAAAATGAGTTTTATAATGTTGAAATAATGGTGTTAGAACATAATACATGCTTAGCACAGAATGTGTAATTATTTGCCATTAAAGAACAAAGTAGTATTTTGACTTTCATACAAAATACTAAATGAGCCATGTCACGACATAAAGCAACATAGTGCGTTTTCGACCAGCATGGATCCAGACCAGCCTGCACATCCGCGCAGTTTGATCAGGATCCATGCTGTTCGCTTACCAACTCTATTACAAGTAGAGAAACTGATAGTGAACAGCATGGATCCTGATCAGACTGCGTGGACGCGCAGGCTGGTCTGGATCCATGCTGGTCGCAAACACACTATGTTGGTTTTGTCATATCGCGGCTCAAATCATTATAACTGTATTAATAACCAAAAGGAAACAGAGGCAACAAACAGGTTTAGTTAATTGGACAATAAGTACTTTTTTAAAAATTATAACACCAGGATACCAAAAGCGAAATATTTTGAGAAATAACTAGAAATGTGTCCATCGGACACAGGTGCCCCCACCGCGCCACTTTTCTGTCAATCTTTTTACTAAGTCAAGGGAAATAACTCTACAAATACTGGATAAATCCACGAGCCAAACCCCACGTGCAAATCTAAATATGCTGAGCAACCTGCCCATAAGGTTTAATGACTCTATGTCAAATCCTTTTAGAGTAAATTGCAAAAATTTTCTAAGTCGAAGGCAATAACTCTGAAAATACTATAAATATCCAGACGAAAATACCCAGGTGCACAACTACACATGCTGATCAACATTCATGTAAAGTTTCATGACTGTAGGTCAAATACTTTTTGAGTTACAATTGCGACACACGTTGAAAATTGCAAAATTTTACTAAGTCAAGGGCAATAACTCTGAAAATACTAAAAATATCCAGACGAAAATACCCAGGTGCACAACTACACATGCTGGTCAACATTCCTGTAAAGTTTCATGACTCTAGGTCAAATACTTTTTGAGTTACATGCGACACAAGTTGAAATTTGCAAAATTTTACAAAGTCAAGGGCAATAACTCTGAAAATACTAGAAATATCCAGACCAAAATACCGAGGTGCACAACTACACATGCTGATCAACATTCCTGTAAAGTTTCATGACTCTAGGTCAAATACTTTTTGAGTTACATGCGACACAAGTTGAAAATGGCAAAGTTTTACTAAGGCAAGGGCAATTACTCTAAAAATACTGAATAAATCCAGACGAAAATACCCAGGTGCACAACTACACATACTGATCACCATTCCTGTAAAAAGTTTCATGACTCTAGGTCAAATACAAATTTTTTATTTTTATTTAAGATTAAAAAATTTTTTTTTAAAATTTTTGATTTAAAATTTAAAGGAAAAAATTTTGAGTAGGCAATGCCGGCCCTGATTTTTCCTTTTTTGGCAACCTTTTAAAAACCATAAAAGGGGTAAATTTCCCCAAGGTGGCTAATTAAGGGCTGAAAAAAAATGCTTATTCCTAACCTCTGGGCCTTTTTTCGTTTTAAATTTTGAACTTTAAAATAAGTTTTGAAAAATTAAAAAATTTTTTTTATGGTAATTTTTTTAAATTCCAACTTTGATAAAAAATTTTTTAGGAAAATTTTAAAAAAAATTCAATTTAAAAAAAGATGCAAAAACACGGGCAATTTTTCAAAAAAAAAAATTAACGAAAAAATTTTCAAAAATTTAAACTTTCATATCAAAGGGCTTTTATTTATCGTTAAATTTTTGTTAAAATTTCATATTTATTTTTTTAAATTTTTTTAAAAATTCCAAAAACTGTTTTTTTAAAAAAAACTTAATAAAAAATCCACTGTTGGTCGTTGCAAATTTGTGCCGCATTATATCCACTCCGGAACTACAACTTTTGGGTTTAAAATTCCTTGCATCAAAAAAAACTCCAAATATGGATTTTACAAAAATATATAAATGAACTTAAATTACTATAAATGCTGCGGCAAAACCCCGAACTCCAACAGCGGAATTTTTTTTTTTAAAAAGAAAATAACTTTGTGGGGTTTTAATATATTTATTGCCTTAAATTACTATTTTATTTTAACATAAAAAAATACGTATTAAATGTAGCAATCATTCTTATGTATATATATATATGTTGTATGTATAGAAAATAACCAGGGACGTAGCCAGCTTTTTTCAAGTTGCAGGCCCGTAAAAGGTGCTCGGTGGCTTAGCTCCCAGAAGCAAAAAACAAATTCAGATTAAAAAGAGCAAAATGCACATTCAGAAGTATTTTCAAGGAAAATTATCAAAACAATATTTTTAAACTATGATTTGATTAGATGCATACTTTTTTTAAAAGGAAACCGGGACGGAAATCATGCATAACCCAAAAAAACCCCACAAAAGTCTTTATTTAAACCCAAAAACGGCTTAAAAATTTACCCCCCAAACCCTTTTACCACCTGTTTTTAATGTTTTTTTGGGATTTTTTGAAATGTCAAGTTTTGGGCCCAAACTTGTAAGCCCCGTCCCTTTAAAAAGGGGCCTTTAAAGCAGCAAAGGGCCACTGTTAAAAAAAAATTGGGATGATAAGCCCCTTTGAAAAAGTGAAAAAAAGATTTTGCAAATGTGTCATGTCAGACTATTCAAGCTGTTAAATCTAATCCACTGTAATTATTTTATAAGGATTTTGAACCATTATCAATTTATGTACTAGTATCAAGGCAGGTCAGGTCAAAGCTTTTATTGACTTAAACAAATATATGTTCATCACTAAGTTATAGGGCTGATATAACATTTATAACAACACTAAAATTGCTCTTGTTTTTCTTGGTATCAGTTTTCATATTGGTATTCTCAGCATATTTTGTCATGTGAGAGGGTTTTTTCCAATGTGATATCCTTATTTGTGGATACAAGATGACAAACAACATATAACGACCATTCCTAATAGCTTAGGCGAGTTAACAAAACTATAAGGAAAAGAAGTATTCTAGTATCTACTTTATAAGAAAAAACTTTATTAATAAATCCGACAGCCATAAAAAACCATTTATTCACTTAAGTCAATATTAGACTGTTGCCATCAAAGTCATTTTTAGTGTGTGTATATAGATCTCTAAGTTACAACTTTGGAACTGAAATTACTACGACACTTCTGCCAATGTCTCTCCATTGATATAATATTAAGAACAACATTAACATTTCCAAAGAACTCCTCTTTTTTTCTAGACCTGTGACTCTGAGGAAGGCCCAGCATGGGGCTCGTGGCATGATTTATTATGAATTGTAAAAATATAGTCAAGCCAAAGTGCAAATGCTGCCACATCTTCAGCTTTCCTCAGAGCTTCTCTAATTTTGAAAGTTCCAAGTTGTCTTTCAGCTCTCTGCACAACTGCTGGTTTCAACGCTTTAACATTCAACCCTGCAATCCTTCTTTTGATGCTTCTACGTCCTATACCTGTAATTAATCCCTTAATCGGGGGCTCCCAGCTTTTGAAAAAGTTTTTTTTAAATTCTCTCCCCTAACAACAGGAATACAACTCTAAATTAAATTTTAACTATCCCGGGGCCCGGTCTGGAATTATTGAAAGATTTTTAACCTTGCTATATGTTCTTTTTTAATTTTTCTAAAATATTTTTTCTCAACAATTCTGTCATTTTTTTATTTTGGTTTTTTAAAAGTAAAAAAACGGGGTTTCCTTTAAATACTTTGGTTTTGCCCCTTTGAATGACTTCAAAACCTTTTTGCTTACTCCCAAGGCTTTGGCGTTTCGGGTAGATACTGATTTTCTGGGAATTATTGCCTTTTTCAGTTCTTCTAAGTTTCTTTAGCAATTCCTCCAAAGTATTTCAGTTTGGGTTTTAATTTTCAATAAAAAACCGAAAATTTGAAATGAACATATTTCACCTTGTCTGTTTTATTCAGCGTTGCTGCTATGCTCAGTTTGAATTCGCCAATAGATCCAATGGGAACTGTTAACTGTATAGTTCCATCTTCATCAGGCAGAAAATCCTCTTCTGTATAATCTTCTGATTCCTCCGAATTATCATTTTTGTCTGAATAATTTACAAGCATGTACCTTAATTTAACTTCAATATTTTCTGCAGATGGTAAAAGTTTAAACTTTACATCAAGTTCTGTTGGTGCAAAGCATTTTATTTCTCCACTTGTATGTGAGACAGCTTTAAGGCCACATCTTTTCAAATATGGATTTGGACCAAAACCAATATTTGGCATAATCGGAAAAAATACTGGCCAATCAGGTACATTATCTACCTTCACATGATAGATAGTGACCCAATCGTAGTCTTCATCTTCTCTCTGACGCCCAACTATTTCAATTTTATGGTAACCTTTTGTTTGAAATCTCACTTTTACTGATAAAGCTGTTAAAATGCTGATATCTTCTGTTACTACAGACTCCATTCTTTGTAAAGCAAAATCCCCACTTCCTCCAGCACTGTCATCATCATCGTCATCTGACAAATAGTCGTCATCTGTGCCATCAGAATTTCTCGTTTTCTGGATGAAATCAAGCTGCTGTAGCCTTAAGCCATCCTCTGGAAGTCTTTCCTCTTCCCATTTTTTTCCATCAGTTTGCCTACTTATCACACAACGAAACTCCTGCATTTCCATGTCCTTGGTGTTAAGGAGGAACTTAAACTCTATTTCACCAGTAGAGCATGTAACTCTACCCTTTGTATGGGATAGAAGCTCCAATTCATATTTCAAAGAAGCTTTTTTTCAAAATAGGCAGTGAAAAAAACTAAACCCCTCGGTAAAAGGGAAATGTTCTTTTCCAACTCCCCATTTTTTTGTTCTCGGGGAAAAATTTTGAGAACTTGAAAAAGTTTTGGCCCCCGGGGAAAAGGTCCC